TGTGCTTCAAAACAAAGTCTGTAATGTTGTGATAGATATCTTGAATCTCTCTGTATTATAAATGTTTTTGAAATCCCTATGGAGAAATAAATGTGAAAAATATTGGAACCAAGCTTGAAAAAGTAGGCTTTCTCTGTTCTGCTTTATTAATGCTCGTGATTTCAAAATACAACGTTCAGCAAGCACATTTGGATATGATGTTCAGGTGTACAGTACCTTGTTGCATTTCTGACTTATGGTGCTTTAATGCACAAGTTCTGAATAATGCAGCCAGCCATCCTCACATCCCATACACTTTATTTCAGAGTTAGTGAGTTAAAATGCTTGCTTTGGATGCATGCACTCACCCTCTATTTATAGTTAATGCTTTTAAAAAAAGAGCCTTTGTCTTTCTCTCTATCTGTTTCTCTATCTCTTTTAGACACCACTATGCCTCCGTTATTGATTGTATGTTTTTTAGTATGCATGAAAGTGAGTGTATGTCAAACAAGAGCTGGTTTTGTGAATATCGACATGCATGATTTTTATTCCAACCTTGTGCCTTTTTTGTTGGCACTGTGTCTGTCAGTAGTTCTGCTGTCATGTGGATCTGTCTTTCTTTCGTCTTCCTCTGTTTTCTTACTTCTCTTTTTGTAGTGATAGGTGTAATAACTCATTGTAGTGAGAGCCATTTGTTTTTGTGTCTGCTGTCTGACAAGGATCGCAAATATTGTTGCTATTCATCAGGGCAGCACAATACTGATATCAGCACAATGTAAACCAGGGATTCCCAGCTAATATATATATATATTACAAAGTTTCAAGAGGTTCACAAACCCTCAGTTCGAAAGCCGTGGTCTAAATCCCTGTTATGCGGTCAGTTGATCAGACAGTTCTGGGCAGTGTGAGTTTCGGGGCTCGCTGTAATCATGCGTTTAGGCATTGTTGGGGTCAGCGAGTCATACATTTAAGCTGTATTGGGGTCAGTAGAGAAATGCTTTTAGGGTCTACTGGCTGCCAGTGATTTAGGCTGTATTGGAGGCAGTTGAGTCATGAGTTTAACACCACTGACCCCATCACAGTCATCCAGTCCTGTGCCACACAGATCACATCACACAGCCTGTGAATCCATCAGCCTTTCTTAAGGGCAGAGAGGTGCTTTACATCAGCAACTGATGCATGCTAAAGTCTGTACAAATCTCTGAGCATTAGCACTGGAGGAAGTCTTTCAAACAGTAATATCTGACTAAATCTGATTAAAAGTGGCACAGTTACATCACCACAGCTTTAATGTCTTCATTTAGATAAGTATCAGAGTGCTTTTTATGATTATGATATGATATGTTATTGCTTGCTGTAATACAGGGATGCAAACTTGTGACCTTTGTCTGAGTTTGGATCGCTTATGACTTTGAAATTGCAACACGCCAATCATCTCCCAAATTTGTAATGAGAATCGTTTATAATAATAAACGCTAAAATAAAAGCTCTATGGTTTAACGTTTGAAAGCAAAGAAATATGTTTGACAGAGATGAATATTAGTATTTTAATTTTACTGCTGTTCTGTAAAGTAAATGTATGATTATTTTTTATGCATTGTTTAATCTTTTAACAACAACAATGACAACATTATTATTAGAGTAAAACTGAATTAGGTCCATAAAAACAACAGGGTGAATTTAAAAATAAAAAAAAACAGTTAAAAAATATTTTCTTCTGGGGGTTTGACCTTTGACAACCATCGGGTCAAATTTTTTTTTTGATACCATTTGCAAAATAATAAAATAAATGATATATATATACATACATACAACAGTTCATTCTGGCTCTCAAATCTGATTGGTTGAGAACCGTGAGATATTGTACTGGTATCGCCACAGGAACGCCCTTTCACCGTTTGTATCACTCCACTTCCAGTATTTCTCACATCGAGTGTCATGGCGGACACCCAAATCCACTAAAATGTTAAAATAATACTGTTTTTGTGTCACGGAATGTAGTTTTAAGTGTTCTTTAGGCGAGAATGTACTTGTTTAAACTTCAAATATACGGTTTGTTAATAAAGATAACGTCTATTTGAAAATTTGCTTCGACATTTTCAGAGATGTGAGCACCAGGGCGTCAGCGGCCATTCCGCGCTCATGAACCCACCGAGAGCAGCCTCACCTCGGCCAGATCTTCTGGAATTTGCCGCTGGCTCTGAGGTCTCTATAGTGGTTAAACATGAGATATAATTCGTTTTGGGTAAATCTGACGGGCAGTCTTTGGTCTCATTAATCTATTATTTGTTCCAGAGCAAATAGTTTCGGCTGAAGGCAAAATCTCATCACGTTATATTTGATGTAACTTTAATGCTGTATATTAGAGCATGGCTTTTATGATGGCTGTTGTTGTTTATTATTCAATAAATAATATTTTAAATACAGTAGTATTTAGTATTGGGAAACAGTGTGCGTGTGTTCGTGATGGTGATTTTTGTGACATTGTTCTACCATTAGATGGCGACAAGTGACTGTTTTACGAGTCAGCATTTAAGGCTTTTATATTGAAAGAGACTAAAACGGAAGTTATTTTTACTTTTAATACCAGCTTGTAAGACACAGTTAACAAATACACGGATCAGCGCTGTTATCGGAAATTGTCAGCGGACATTGAAACTAATTCAATTCAATTCAAGTTTATTTGAATAGCGCTTTTCACGATACAAATCATTGCAAAGCAACTTTACAGCAAATTAAGTTTCTACAATATTTAGTGGTAGCTTATCAGAAACTAATGTTTTATTGTGAAGATGAGATTAATCTTAAGAATGAATGCTGTATCAGGTGCAGGTAATCACACTCGCTCAGTCCATCTCTCTCTCACAAAACTCTACATGATACAGTGAGCTTTTAATTAAGGAATACAATAGGTTTTTAATGAAGCAACTCAGCGTTCCTTCGTTACTAGTTCTAAAGTGACGTTTTCGAATTAGTAACGGAGGCTTCAGCTCAGCTGTTAAACTGTCAAACTGAGATTTGAATATGTGGCGGAAGGAAGTAGTTCCGCACAAAAGGGTTTTTAAAGACAGTCCGTTGTTGAGTTTCATTTATATACACAGGTGCATCTCAATAAATTAGAATGTCATGGAAAACTTAATTTATTTCAGTAATTCAACTCAAATTGTGAAACTCGTGTATTAAATAAATTCAATGCACACAGACTGAAGTAGTTTAAGTCTTTGGTTCTTTTAATTGTGATGATTTTGGCTCACATTTAACAAAAACCCACCAATTCACTATCTCAACAAATTAGAATAGTGTGGGCAGGTGCCAAATCCTGCTTGAAAATGAAATCAGCATCTTCAAAAAGCTGGTCAGCAGAAGGAAGCATGAAGTGCTCCAAAATTTCAGTGACTTTGGTTTTCAAAAAACACAATGGACCAACACCAGCAGATGACATTGCACCCCAAATCATCACAGATTGTGGAAACTTAACACTGGACTTTAAGCAACTTGGGCTATGAGCTTCTCCACCCTTCCTCCAGACTCTAGGACCTTGGTTTCCAAATGAAATACAAAACTTGCTCTCATCTGAAAAGAGGACTTTAGACCACTGGGCAACAGTCCAGCTCTTCTTTTCCTTAGCCCAGGTAAGACCTTCTGACGTTGTCTGTGGTTCAGGAGTGGCTTAACAAGAGGAATACGACAACTGTAGCCAAATTACTTGACACGTCTGTGTGTGGTGGCTCTTGATGCCTTGACCCCAGCCTCAGTCCATTCCTTGTGAAGTTCACTCAAATTCTTGAATCGATTTTGCTTGACAATCCTCATAAGGCTGCGGTTCTCTCGGTTGGTTGTGCATCTTTTTCTTCCACACTTTTTCCTTCCACTCAACTTTCTGTTAACATGCTTGGATACAGCACTCTGTGAACAGCCAGCTTCTTTGGCAATGAATGTTTGTGGCTTACCCTCCTTGTGAAGGGTGTCAATGATTGTCTTCTGGACAACTGTCAGATCAGCAGTCTTCCCCATGATTGTGTAGCCTAGTGAAAAAAACCGAGAGACCATTTTGAAGGCTCAGGAAACCTTTGCAGGTGTTTTGAGTTGATTAGCTGATTGGCATGTCACCATATTCTAATTTGTTGAGATAGTGAATTGGTGGGTTTTTGTTAAATGTGAGCCAAAATCATCACAATTAAAAGAACCAAAGACTTAAACTACTTCAGTCTGTGTGCACTGAATTTATTTAATACACGAGTTTCACAATTTGAGTTGAATTACTGAAATAAATGAACTTTTCCACGACATTCTAATTTATTGAGATGCACCTGTATACACTCGTATATACATATATATATATCATTTTGTGAATGGTATCAAAGAAATGCAAGAAAATGCATTTGTGACGATAATTAGTTAAAAAAACACAATATAAAATTTTTTGAAGAAGAAGAATTTACGTTTTCACAACAAAGACAGTTTGCAGATATATTTGTCTGTCTTCTACTAAAATTAAGAGTAAAACTGATTAAAATTAATGAACATGTCATGTCAAAATACTGGAAATTTAAAGAATATTTTTGTCCAAAGACAAAACCCGAGACTAAAAACTGCATATTAGAAACTCAACAGCTGAGATGAGTAATATCAGACTCTCATAGAGGCAGAAATCGATGACTGCATCAGAAGTGCAGAAAGTGTATTGGTGTTGATGTATAATGTTACTTTTGACAACAATAGAGACTCAAATTAGGAGCGTGAGGCAAACAGGAATGGTGAAAGGCTCAAAGTGAAGAAAAAGAAATTAGGTCTTGTATGAAAACATGTGCGTAGCAGCACCCAAAGCTGGATCTGTCACATTTATACCTAAACAGGTTTCTAATTTCATCCTGCTGATGTGTTGGCTTTATGTGCCAACTGCGGGGGATTGCCACATCGTTAGATGCTTCGGCCTGTTGTTTTGTACGATAAATATGTATTAATTTTTTTTTCTTTTTTCTCCTTTCTCTTGTTCTGTTGTTCAGCTGTCTCTCTCTCAGCTGGTTGCGACTTCACGCTACTCGACCATGAGCCACACGGTGGGGTCTCCATGGCAACAACAGCTCCACTCTTTGCTTTCTCCCTCCCCGATGGCATCGGCCCACCAGCTGTCACATGTCATAAGTTTTCCACCCACATACACACACACACACACACACACACTCAACACGAACACACAAATGTATATATGCTCTTTTAAAACAAAGCACAGAGATACATTCATGCAAAGGAATAAAACGCCTACACTCAAAACATATGGCATAGAAAAAAAACACAACACCTGCATTGTACACACCTGTACACCACAAAACCCAAACCGAACCTGTTGAGAGCAGCATTAAGGAATTTCATACTAAAATTAGTTTTTAACATGTTAGAACTACAATTGTTCAATACCATTTTGCAGGCTAAAAACTTTGTATCAAACTGCAGAACTTCTTAGAGCACCATTAACTGTCCCATCGTTTTGACAAAATTAGCTGCACCATTATAATGTTTCATGCTTGCGTAAGATCTACTGTAAGTGCCAGTTTGACTTTTTCTTTACCGCAAAAACTGGAGAGATAAACCAGAACTTTAAAATTTGATCTGGTTCGGCGAGTGTATGTCACTAAATTGGAAAATCATGCAAATGAGATTAAGGTGACTGCAGCTCCACACTCATAATATATCCATCAGTGGTCCAGCGGATTTGTTCACTTGAGCTCTGAAGTACATTTAAATGATTCATGATTCACATGATGATCAACATTTTATGTACCGCAAGACTTTTCCACTGTCAGGCTTTACGTTTTCTTGATGATACACAAGAGTTGGCATCGACATGATACTGCTTTTGTAGGTAAACAATGGAGCGAGTGCATTATGGAGGAGGATCACATTATATAGAAAGTTAAAAGTTTCCAGAGTAGCTACAAAGAAAATTTATTCAGATAATATTATATAATTTAAGTTAAATGAAAATTTGCTGAAAATGTATTCACCCTTAGGCCATCCAAGATGTAGATGAATTTGTTTCTTCATCAGAACAGATTTGGAGAAATGTAGCATTACATCACATGTGAATGGGTGCTGTCAGAATAAGAGTCCAAACTGCGGATAAAACATCGCAATGATCCACAAGTAATCCATGTGACTCCAGTCTATCAGTTAACGTCTAGTGAAGTGAAAAGCTGTGTGTTTTGTAATAAACAAATGTATAATTAAGGCATTTTAACTTTAAACTGTCTCTTCAGGCCAGAATCCATAATAGCACTTTCTCTATTGAAAAAGTCCATCCTCTGTTGCCCTCTCACATTAAAATCCATTGACATATTTGTTTAGAGCTGTATTGAACTGTTTTCTCTAGTAATCGGTGCATGATCAGTGCATATTTCTCTTCTGATTCAGACAAGATGCCTTTTATCACTGGAGAAAGCAATATTATGGATACTGGACTCTTAGCTGAAAACAATAGTTTGAAGTTAAAAATGTCTTGATGGATTTGTTTATTACAAACAAAGCTTTTACTGGAGTCGTATGGATTACTTGTGGATTATTTTGATGTTTTTATAAGCTGTTTTAACTATCATTCTGACGGCACCCATTCACTGCAGTGAATTCGTTGATGAACAATTGATGCAATACTGAATTTAAAGAAACAAATGGACCTTTAATTAGTGTAATGTACCTTGTTGTTTAAAAAATATTGTGTATTATACTATAAAACCATTAGTGCTTTATTACAGTTGTTCCACAGCAACATCAGCTAGCCATGCTGAGAAAACTGGGCTGGGAACGGTTTGTAATGGTAATGTGATTTTGTTATTTTAATGGAAATACAGTGCAGATACAGCCTGTATAGAGTGGGAACATGTCACACATTTTCACAAAGCTATCCACAGATATTATGCTAATCGTGTGTGGGAGCATGTATGTTTATGCCGTTGCCTTTAGTCATGCGGTGCATTTGACTATATGATAGTCTGTAAATAAACATACAAAGTGCTTTGTTACCGCCTCCACAGTTGTTTAAGGCTGTTTGTGCCACACATGGGCTCTTCTGCTGAGATTAGGGAGGATATTTCTGCTATGCTCAACTTCCTGCATGTCATTTCTGGGTGATTCTGGGATGGTGTTAAATTATTCTCTGTGCATTTTTTTCTGTCTATGAATCTCCTGTTCCTATCTTCAAGTTAGAATTTTAAATTATTTTTGGATTTGGTTTTAGCTGACTTAAAAATATCAGTCTGTGTGGACAAAGATTTGTGAACATCCTGAGCTGTACCATTTTTAAAACACAAATGCAGAATGTTAGAATTCACTTGCAATTTGGCTGAAGTGTTACGGTGGCATTTTTAAGTATACTACATAGCATGTGTATATGTGTGTATAGTGTGCATGATTGAATGTGATTTTTTTATGCATTAACCAGCATGCCACATGTACATATAATGAGGATTGCTACCACACAAGCAATTCATCAAAAGTGGGCAGTAACATTATAAATGTGATACAAAGAGCTAAAGTTTGCCAGAAACGTACAAGCTTATAGATAAATGTATCGTACAGTACTGTAAGTCTGTTATGCTCACCAATGCTGCATTTATTTGATCCAAAATACAGTATAAACAGTAATATTGTGAGTAGGGCTGTCAAATCGATTAATCGCGATTAATCGCATCCAAAATAAAAGTTTGTTTACTGTATATGTATATATAAAAACCCATACATACGTGTGTGTGTGTGTGTGTGTGTGTATTCATATTTATTATTTATGATTATAATTTATGATAATATGATTTATATTGCATATAAATATAAATATATATTAAAAATATTTCTTAAACATATACATGTATTTTGATCAATTTAATGCATCCTTGCTTAAATAAAAGGGGGGGAAATAAATTCTGCCCACAAGTTTTTGAACAGTACTGTATGTTAGTGAAACTTGTTAATTTCATTCATTCATTCTCGTTCATTAAATCCTTTTAGTAAAGGTGTTTGTAAGGAGTAGCCTTACATAGCCATACTTGGCATGAAGTATTTTGTTTTGTTTGTCTGTCGTTTAGGAGTAGGTTTATGTAATATGATTTATCTAATATTCCACATTATTAGACCACTGAGGAAAAATGCAAATAATTCCAAATAATAGCACAACAATATTGTTTTACGTTAAGCTATTCAGCTGTCAAGAAAAACTATAAAGAAAAAATGAGTCATTATTTCACAGACATAATAATGCAACAAAATATGCATTTCTATTTGTGGTAAGTTAGTAGTCTGAAACTACACTATCTTATATTTGATTTGATGTCACTAAGCTTGAAAACTTAGAGAAATGAGTGCGTCTTCAAAAGAAACAAGTTTTGTTTCCAGGCAAAAAACAAAAGTGCACCAGTAAAGTAAAGCCAGCCAGTCAGTCAGATTAAAGTTTGCCTGATTGAGAAAATACTTGCCAATATTTTTAGCAATATAAATCAGACGGTCAGTGAACAGACTGTTTGTGGCCTATGGGTGTGCTGTCTGAAGGAGTATAGAATATGCTGCAGTTGGTTTTTGATCAAGTCCTTGTGGAAGAGTCGTGTCTTCAGGCATTTCAAAAAGAACTTGAAGTTCTTGTAGAGTGTTTGGTTGTTAGGTTTCTGTTGGCTGTGGTATGTTATTTTTTTTGTGAAAGATTCCAATAATTAACTTTCCTAACTGATTTCGTCTCTGATCTGTTGACCTCTTTGTTGTCTTAACATTCTCATCTGCTTCCTAAACATATGTTATTACCCTCAAACATGGATATTTTTTGAGATTCTTTTTAGATTTGCTGATGAAATATTCTCAGTATTTTTCAGAGTCCTCACAGAGAGAGATAATCATATACTGAAGATTTATGAGCCAAAACTTCATCAAAGCCTCTGGGTTTTTTGTATTGCAGGATCTGCTGCTGAACTTCAGTCCAAAATGATTCTTGAATTTGTCTGTTTTTCTCTCTTTCTGCCTATGTGTGTTGATTTAAATTGAATCAGGAGCGTCCAGTTGCCGGCAGCATAGCTCATCTGGAGCTGAGTGTGCAGGAGAGAGAGGGAAACAGAAGTGAGGAAGAGGATGAGATGCAGGAGCTGACCTTCACTCCGGTGCACGCCCCTGTCATCACCCTCGGAACACACTCTGCTGGGTGAGAACCATACAGTCACACTAACAAATAAATCAGTTATACAGTGGCCATATTCTTCACTTTTGTAGTGATGTTTATTTTTTTCTCAGAAGTCCACTTATGTTCCTGGCACCAAACCAGCCTTAGGTTTATGCCTATTTTCCTTTTTATAATTTTCTTGACTGCATTTGTTTCTGTACTGTTTTAATTCTTAGAAATGTAAGTGCAGGTACACTAAGTGTTAGCAGAGGTTAATGTTGTTCAACTAGGGGCCAAGTTGCTGAACATTGAATAGATGTTGAGATGTAAACACAGATATTATGATATGCTCATAGTTCTGACATCAACCAAAATTTTAAGATAAATATCTTTAGACTGATAGATGGTAGGTGATGGATGAATGGATCACTACATGAACAGATAGATAGATAGATAGATAGATAGGGCTGTGGGACATGAGCAGGACAGTTTTATGGCGAATGGCTTAAATTATTTAAATTTATGGGCTCGAACGACATGAATCCAAAAGCATGGTCACAATGTAACATTTGCCTGCTAACAAATTATTTCTCTTGTAAACAAAGCTTTGTGTTGTAATACTCACATAAAATGTTTCATGATATGAGCAGCAGTGTGTTTTGCCCCACGCGCCGCAGTTACGTTTGGGATCATTTTATTTTAAATGCCGATAATGTCAATTGCAAACATTGCGATTGTTTTTTAAAATACAGTAACGAGCACCATGAAACCATTCAAAAAGGCACATTCAGAGGTCTTTGTTACAGGATATAAAACAGCCAACAAAGTAAAATTATCCCAAACTACAGTGCGCTCTCTTAATTTTATCAAATGATCATTGTCATCTATTCATAGCCTTTTATTTAAACTAAAAACCCTTTCATTGTGGTGAGAAAGCTGGCGTTTTGAGTTGCATTTGCATTACCTGTCATGCCGGTAACTATCCCACTGCAATAGATGTATTTTGCAGTATTGAGGTTAACAATTAATCAATTAATTGAGTGTTAATTTAAATGACAATCGATCATGGGAATGATTGAAAATTTGCATGCCTATTATAGACTTTATGTATACAGACAAGCTGATGGATGATGGATAGATGGATGGATGGATAGACAGATAGAGAGATAGAGCATTGTCTTTAGAACACTCTGTATCCCCATCATGCACAAATTTGCTGTTTTCTCTAATGCCAGTTTCTCTTTTGCCATTGCTCAATTTTCAAGACACCAGCACATTTGTTTATGTCATGTTTATTTTAGCTGAAATATTTCAGGGCCCTGTCTGTTTTTATATGTAGACTTGTACTGTCCTTTAAAAATGGCAACCGTTTTGCTGAAGCCGTGAGTTGAGATGGCCATTTAGAGTCTGTCGGAGTGCAGAGTTGTCATTCAGGAGCTGTTCGGTGTCAGTGCATCATCTGATTCTGACCAAAGACAGTTGACAGGTCAACATTATTTACATCTGGAACTGCAGACTCACACAGTACAAAGAACCAACTTATGTAGCATGAAACTTTATTTAAAATGAGAACTCTAATTTGAGTCAGTTGTCATATCTGATTGAGACCTATGAAATTAAAATTGAAGTCTGAATACTAAACCAGCTGGAATGAATTAAGTTCTTGCATTTAGACTGGAGGTGAATTCAAATTATATTTTTTCTATGTGAGGGACCTTAATTTGGTCAGATTTTTTATGCCTGTATTTTATGAAGAGCTCAGACTATCACAGGCAAGGACAGAAGTCCTTTTGATTTCCTGAGACATTATGATAAAACATTTATATAATACATCTCTTGACTCTTGTTCTGAGGGTTTTAAATGAGTTGCTGGTTTTGAGTCCAATTCCCCCTGGTCAGTTGTCATTATGAGAAACCAATTGTCATTGCAGGTCAGTTTTGCAATCAGGTTGTTAATAACTAGGACTATCCATGCAATTTGGATTGAAATTATATATATATATATATATAATAATTTAATCTTGCCCACCAAACTCAATTATGATATTGAACATTATCCTATAATTTATAAATTGTATTATTTATTTATTATTGAACATTATTCTATAACTGGCCCATATGTGGGCTGTATGGGCCAGTTATAGAATAATGTTCAATAATAAATAAATAAAATGTATAAATTAAATATTAATTAAATTTAAAAAAGTAAATAAATTAAAATAGAAAAAAAATAATATTTAAAAATTACATACATAAAGTCTCCTGTTATCATGTTTATTCAGTAACTTTGTCTGCCACAATAATTATCTTCATTTGGGGGCTTTTCTCAGGAAATATTGATAGTGCTAATTAACTTGATTTGTATTAAAGGGGTCATATGATGCTTTTTTAAAGATCATTATTTTGTGTATTTGGTGTAACAGAATATGTTGACATGCTTTAATGTTCAAAAAACACATTATTTTTCAAATACTGTACATTATTGTAGG